GGATAATATTATGCACAAGTAGGCGAACATGTCATACAAGGCTATAATGACGATTGACTGGAAATGGCGATTAAGTTCGTGAAGTAATGCCGCGTAGACTTACGAAGAATACGCATGGAAGTATGTAGTAATTAAGTCTGGTATTATCGTCGCTGGGGGAAAAGGGATTGCCCAGCTGGATATTTTCGTGAAATCTACATTTTCCGGCGGGTTCTGCAGGGAGAGATATTCTCCGGATGGATGATTCTGGAACGACGAGTGTAGTTATGCGTACGCCGCTAATTTTGATCAAGCAATGATCGCGATGTTCTGTTGTGATTCGTCAACGAAGCCTGAAAGTACTATATCTTGCTTCAAGGTTAAGTCGGTTTATCAGTCATATATTCGAGTATGTATGTCGCATCAAATTACAGAGCGTGTGCACTTGTGACAGGCTTTAATTTGGTAACCAGCAGCGGAGATAGATGATGAGCATGGGTAATATAACGTGATTAATGTGGACCGCATGCTAACATACGATACTTCGTCATATCATATTATACGTTAGCGTCGCCAATCGATAGCGTGCGATCAAATATTTCCCTGCGATTGCACACTTTTTGTCGTTTTTTTTCTTTGCGAAACCTTGACATGAAGCTGCGTATATTTTGCTTGCATATTGCCCCCGTGCGTTGTCACTGCCGTTTAACAGCTCTTCTGAGTCATACGACTCGATAACATGATGGGAAACTCGCTGCCTCCGCCATTTCTCGACGCCAATTCAAAGCGGTGAAGTACGTTGTTGAAACTGTTACGCTACGCCCAATTACGTTTGCCAAGGAAGTGTTACACGGGCTTCAGACACGATTACATCGTTGTGACATGATAGAGAGTACGCGAGTCAACACTTCAATCTTCTCAATAACAAGGCATATTCGATCGCGCTGTTATGCTAATAATAATTATCCTATTTCATCGTTTACGATGATACAATTGATCGTATGTGTTGAGTGACGTTGGTAGACGTATTGCTATGGAACAAGAGCGTTACTTTTAATTAAAATCAATAAAGTCTAACATGAATACACTTTTATGTTGGTAGGTATATAGTGTTGTATTTGTATGTAAGTAGACATTCACTATAAGATGTCTTCAACAAGCGCAATTATGAACGCGATACTATTCTGTACTATACGCACCCAGCAGAGTAACATAGCTACATGCGTATACTCGTATTCGTATATGTATGTATATATATATATATATATATATGTGTATATTAATATATATAAACTATACATGGGCTACTATATATACATTCTTATTCGTGATCCCGGATATTCGATTAATTCGTATAGTATGCTTCTGTGATTAGAACATATGTTGTAAAATATTAAGGTAGTTAAGCTCTTGAACAATCTCTCTGTCCTTAGGAGAGAGGGAGCGGGAGCAGGGAGGGAGAGGAAGAGGAGGGAGAGAGAGAGGAAAAAGGACGAGGAAAAAAAAAGGAAGGAGCAGAGAGAAAAGAGGAGAAAAAAAAAGACAGAAAAAAAGAAAAAAAAAAATGAAGGAAAATAAAAAAAAAGAAAAAAGAAAAAAAAGAAGGAAATTTGTGAAGAAAAGGAAAAAAAGAAAGAAAGAAAAAGAAAAAAAAAAAAAAAAAAAACAACAAAAAATCGAGTAAACAACTTCCCCTGTCACAGACACAACGAACTCAGCACCACAAAGCACCAACAACAAGTGCCCGAAACAAAGCTCAAATACACCAAATCACCCCAATAACGCAGCCCGGCAGCAGCGGACCAACACAGGACAGCTACACCCGTCCCAACCCCGCCTCCAAGACTACCACATTCCAAACAGATCAGGAGGAAGCTACAAAGAAAGTAGGTACCGACGCATGCTAAACCCACTGCCACTGCAAAAATCACAACCCCCCCCCCCCCCCTATACCCACAATCCTCAGGACAGACATATTCAACAACTGAATACACATGTAATGAGACAAGAGCAAAATATTATATACAGACAATTATAGACAGTAAATCATAAAGAATGAGAAAATACAATATGATTAATACCTAACGTACCGCTAATGCATGTAAGGAACCACCACCCCCCCACCCACACACGCACCCCCCCCCCCCCCTCCAGCCAAACCCCACCCACATACCCACCCCACCCCACCCACCACCACACAAAAACCACACACGCCAACACACACACAACCGGACTACCACCATCACCAAAACACAACCACCATAAAACAAAATCGATAAACTAAGCCCACAACACGACAGCACAACCACTGCACCACCCCCCCCCCCTCCCACCCCCAAGCCACCCAGTCACAAAACACATAGCACAACTCATACCGACACCCCAAGCATCCCGCCCAACCAAAACACCCCCCCACGCCGCCCAAAAAATCCCAAAACCTACAAACCAAACACATTACCACCACACCCACACAAACACTGATTACCCAGCCAACACAACTAAGCACCAACTCCCCACCCCCCCCAAACCCCACTGCCACCCCCCCCCCCCCCCACCCCCGACCACACCCACCACTCACACCAAACCCCTCCCCAAACAAAGTAACTCCCCAGTAACCCCCCTAAACAAACAAGCAACCCTAAGACAAATATATTATAATATAACATAAATATATATATATTATTTATCAGTATAATAGTAGGTACGTATATGAGTTGAATAATAATGCACGCCATACCAGCAATCCCGAGCCCCTAGCACCAACTAATATGCTGCTCAATCCCAGACTCGCCGTTCGCACCTATGCCTACCCAGTCCCGAACTTCTTTGACACGGTAAATCTAATGATGGTGAC